AATTACATACAAATTCATGTAAAATTACAAACAATATCTGTAAATTAACAACTTGACTGTTATTTTAAGTATTATTCCATTAATGACAAATTATAGTAATTCTCATTTTTTATACAAAAAAATACTGTATTATTTATACAGTATTTTTTGTTTTCTTAAATTATGTACAAATTTACGTAAAATTACAAATATGTAATTAAATAATGTAGCTCATTATATTAAAGGTTTATGTCCATACAATGATTAATAAACAGCAAGCACAAACTATGCAAAAGCGGCATTCCTTCCGGTGCACTCAGTGTCCGAATTCACTACTCGTTTTCATTCACTCCTTCTAGTGAACTGAATTAGTGACCTAATGTAGGGAATAGTGAATGAGGGAATAGGGGGCGATTTCGGACACAGCCAGCATTTGATATCGCTGCTGTAAAACTTGTTGTAAAACTTCTTAACGGCAAATTTGGAAATTGTTATTATAGCTACAGAGGAAGGCCATATATATCGCTGAATGGTAGTGATGGAAAGTCCGGTTCTTTTCCGCGAACCGGTTCTTTCGGACAGTTCATTTCAATGAACCGGTTAAAAAATAAACGATTCATCGGTTCTTTTACGCCCTAACGTAATGACGTCATTTATCTTGTTTATCATGGGTCACATAATATGCTGTCAGATCACAAGCCTGATTTGGGCCACATAATCACTGGACTGATCTGGGCCACACTCCTCCCACCAGCAATCAGCCCTCATGTTTGCCATCATCACCACACATGGCCCAGCTCTGGCTGAAAGGGTACCTGCCATTGCTGACAGGAGGCCAGCAGTTCCAGTTTGAGGCCACGTTTGGGCCGAGATCGCTTGCTATGTGGGAAGGACAACAATGTTCATGATGGAACATTGCTCTTAGGGCCAACCTATACATTGTCTTTACTTTTGAATAACTAAAAAACACACTTTCACTTTCTATGGTGAGAAGTTAAACATTTTCAGTTTACATTGTCTCATATCACAAATGCTATAAAGTCCTACTTCAGTCAATAGCTTGCAATATCTATGCTATTAAATAAAAGTATGTAGACAAATTTTGTAACTTGCATGCAATTATGGCATTATTTTAAAATAAGTGTTATGGTGGACAGAGGATTAACCAACAGGCTG